TTGATTAGAAGCATTAAAATTGTTAAAGGATCATACAAGCCAAGGCAATCTACAGAGTGACTGCAATCCCTGTCAAAATATCAATGGCATTTCCCACAGAACTACAGGAATTATCTTTTTTATAATTGATAATATCACTGAGTAAGACCGAATTCCAGATATTTATAACCACCAGCACCTGTAAATTCAAGCAAGGGGCTGTATTTTGAATGTTTAAGAAACCTGAATTGAACATACATCAGAAAAGGGAAAGTGGTCTCCTACCTGCACAGGGTAAATGACACAAGCAGGATATAGCACAGGTATTCTAAAACAATCATCTAAACAAATAAACAAAGAAAAGCTGTTATACTCACTCTAGGTCATTCTCCTGGGGAGAAACAATGTCAGACCCCTAGCTCTTACATTAGAAGAACAGGATCCTGGCATATTAAATTTTTTCTGCCCCCTAGTATAATCCATTAAAATTCTCTCCACATATAAGACTTACTGGCCACTGTCACTATTCATAATAAATCTATGGGGTGCTCTCTAATTTTACTCAGTTGAGTGCCAGAGGTCTGGCCTCTCAAGGCATCCTTCCTAAGGGCTCTGAAGCAAAACTGTCCATCTTGGACAAGACAGCAGCCTAAGGATAACTCACAGAGAAAAAAATGTGACAATGAGTGTGTATATGTCCATGAATGACTGAAAAATTGTGCTGAACACTGGAATTTGACACAACATTGTAAAATGATTATAAATAAATAAAAAATGTTAAAAAAAAAAAAGACAGCAGCCCAACAAGGTTCCCCACTCTGGACCTCTATCCTTAGAAGTCAGATGAATGATTACATTTTCTTGATTCTGGGGGAGCAATTCCATAGCCAGTCCAGGAAATACCATACCTTACCCTGGCTACTCAATCAAAGCAGCACTTTTCCATTAGTACTATTCAAAGCCACTTAAAAATGGGCTTTTCCATTGCCTTCATAACAGTAAGAGGCCCAGATTGAACTCACTTCTCTGACAAGGCTGGTTTCTAGAGCTGACAAGTTGTTATAATCCCATTCAGTCTACTAATACAAAGGAGCAAGTCTCATTATAATTCACAGGCCAAATAGTAACACTGTCTCCCCTCTCTTCCTCAAGTAGAACTGTCAGACAGCATTCTATCAGACAGCAGATCACAAAAGAGGACACACAAAAAATAGATTTAAAAATTTTAAAAAGAGGATACAACTCTTCTCACAGACTATTCATCTGGATCTCCAGAAGGAAAATAGACATAGATTCTTCAAACTTAAATAGGCCTCTCAACAGATTCCTTTTAGAAAAGGACCTTTACAAATAGCAAATAAAATTCACACTGTTATGAAATACAGCTCTTGTTACCATCTACAAAAAGTATTTTCTCTAATCCCTTTCAGGTAATGAACACAGAACTGGGAGTAAAACAAAGAAACTGAATAGAGAAATAGGGTAATAAAAATGCAGATTTAGTTATACAAATACTGATTTTTGGAAAAACAACTGTGATTTTAAAATAGTTGACTATCTCTGTTGTTCAGAATGTTTTACTAATGCCTTTTCAAAACACTTAGAGACAATCTGTAACCACTGGAAACACCTTTAAAATGAGGCCTCAATTTCATGTGCCCAGACACATAAAAGTGAAAAGATCAGGTGGTGAACACAGTTCCTAAAGCTGAGCACCATCATTAGTTTCTCACTCTCCTTCCTCCCCCACTCCCACCAGTCCCCAATACCTCTCCTTCCTGTCCATCCCTTTCCATCCAGTCATTCTGCCATCTTGCTAGCTCACTCCCCCTTCACTTTGCACCTACCCTAGTGTAGAAGCCCCTAACTAGTCTCCCTGCCTCCTTTGTCCCACTCTTTCTGGTCCACCCTGCACACCACCACCAAGTCCATCTGGTTGTCATTTTCCTTCTCAAAACTTCCAATGGCCTCGTCCTGCTCACTGTGCCTAAACTCCTCAACTTGGTGGAAAACCAATCTGTTCCCAATTGTCTTTCCAGGTCTCATTTCTCACTACTAACTGAAAAGGAGCCTCACTCTGCTCTGGGCAGTCTGCATAGTCTGTTTCCCAAACACATTCTATTTAACACTTCAAAATCCATGGGGGTTAGAAATAGAAGCCAAGTCATTTACCCCAGATCACACAGTGAGGCAACAATAGAATCTAAATTTCAATCTAGGTTTGGGCTGTGTCCAAAGCTCTTAAACATCATCCTGTTCTCTCTCTCTGGAATGTCCCTCTTTGATCTACCTGTGGAAATTGTATCCAATCTTCAAAGCCACTTTACTCCTGAAGCTTTCCTTGTTTTTCCTGTCCAAAGTAAATTTTCTCTCCTCTGAGCTCCTATATTACCTTGTTTGCATATTTCACAAAATATCATGACAACAGAGTCACGTGATGAGCTTCCTGAGATTCAATGCATTGTCTTATGGCATTTTTGGTCCTTTATGGCCCCTAACACAGCTCTCTACACACTGCTGGCACTCAGCAAAGATCTGGTAAAGAGTGAGATGCTGCACTCACCCAACCCAACCACCATGAAAGATCCTCATTCACTTCAGCACAGAGATATCTTATCCCTGCCCCGAGCATCCTGCCATTCTCTTCTTCTAGTGCATCAGTTCTTGCTTGTTCTATGCCATGAGCTCTCTGCCAACTGCCTGTAATACATTGTGAAAACCTGGGAAAAACTCTGGTGCCTGGTAATGACTGTAATATTTAGGAAGATACAAATTATGATAAATAGGAATCATAAAGGAATCTTTGGAATCTGAAATGGGAACTGCAAAGCAAGATTCATGTCAAATTTCCTTTCAGGTCTTCTTACCCATTGTCTTTGTTTTATGTTGAAAGGAACAAGGTGGGAGACAGTGAGCAAGTGAGTACGAACAAATGCCGGAACAGGAAAGGGGAATAACTGGTCACAGCTACTCTTTCTCAAGAGACAAACTGCATTCTAGGAAAGGAAAACACTCCCTAGTTACAAGAAATTATGCAAGGAGCATCGAGCAGAAAGAGGAAATCAGGTCTAAACAGTAGCTCCCTTATTTGTCTCAGCTTCTATGCCTGTGAGCTAGGGTTTCTACCCTTCGATGCTTCTCTCTACACTGGGTCACACGACACTCAATGTAAGGTCCTCAACATGACTTGGAAAAGGCTGCAAGGACAAGATGAAAATGACCCATTTCACTGAGCATATGACTGCATCCAGGAATTCAGTAAAATTAGGCAGTGAGTTTAAAACAAATATGATGAGAATGAGGAGGAGGCACTTCTACCTGTTGCCCACCTCCCTGCTCACGCTCTTCTTGCTGCTCCTCACAGAGGAAATTGCTAAACTGGTAGGTCAATGTTTGGAATGCAGTTGAACCAAAGAGGGAGACCAGGTTCAACTCCCTATAACCCAGGAAGTTAAAGGCAGGAGTGTACAGTGTGGTTCTCCCCTCTCTGTCAGTGTCCTCCTTCTTGGCTACAACAAATATCCTTTGATTGAAATGAATAGTATCAGAACTAGAAATTCTACCAACATTACTTCTTGAGAACCTACTATGGGCTGGGCTAGGAATAAAAAAAGAAAAAAAAAGCATTGGCCTCTACTCGAGCAGTTCACAGTCTAATGGGAGAGACAGAAATAATTTCCATATACTATGGTGTTATACAAGGAACCCTCAGGGTTCTGTGGAAATAAAGAGTCTGTGAGAGCAGAACTGGGGTCAGGGAGGGTTTCCTTGAAGAAATGAGATCAGACTGAGGGCTGATGACTGTGCAGGAGTTAGCCAGGCCTAGAAGGGCGGGAAAGGTGTTCCTGCAGAGTGAACTGCGTGAGCAAAGGACAGAGACGTACAGCATCCTTCCCTCAAACCAACCAAGCCCAAGTCCTCTCGTGTCTGCGTAATGTATACAAGATTCTGGGATCAGAGGCAGAGAGGATGGGAATTGGTGAAATATAATTTAAATACTGAACTTCGAAGAAGTGGATCAAAAATAAATCCATAGCCTTCTCTGAAGAAGTAAGAAGGGTAAAAGACAAAAATAAAAACAAAATCTTAGAGTGGGTTTGATGAAAGCAAACAAATTAACTTCCTCATTTCTGCCGGTGGGATCAGATTCCAGGTGGCCTTTCAAAGAGCTGGCGTTTACCTCTGAATCATAAGAGGCAGATGGAAAGCAACAGCACACCCCTGGCTGTTGTCTAAACTGCTAACCACATAGCAGTTAAGTAACAGATGATATCATAAATGAAACAGATGCATGGGGACTAGTGCCTTTCCTGGCCGAGTCTGCTCTCCTGGAGAACTAGGTTTGGACTCCACGCCCAGCTCCATCTCTGTCTGTGAAATAGTTGTCACTGATATGAACTCTGTCCCACATTCCATTCCTTACAGACCTGGCTATTTATTGACTTAAATAGCATAAATATATGAGACCTAGGGCAGAGAAGGTAGAAGTAGCAGGTGCCCGAAAACATCTCTGTTATGGTCTCAGCTATTGGCACAGTTTTTATTCCTGGACTTTAAGTTCCCTTGCTCTGGGCCCTAGACTCTCCATCTGACAATGACAACTATAAAATCTACCTCTAAGTTCCCTGTCTATGGGAGATAAATTAAATAATTCTTAACATGGCTTGAGGTCCCTGAGCAGCAGCCAGGTGTCTGGAACGACAGGCCCCAGGAAAGCAGAATCACCTTTATCGAGAGCAATGAACCTGAAGGAACAAAAGCAGCACCACCTGTTCAATTTTTCATTCACTCAACAATGTTTATGAAGTATTTCCTATGTGCACACCATGATCAAAACCAATACTCATGTATCTTTGTTTTCTAGTTTCTTTCTACATCCCTTGTCTGGGACTGATGAATAAGAGAAACTGGCTATTACATACTAATGGGAACTGTGCTCATCTCAACCCAGTCCCACCACATGGGAAACTCAGAATAAAGCCCGTGACCAGGAAGGCAGCAGAGCACTGTGTTCAGCTCACCCGGGGATGCTGGTGAGGTAGGTCATGACATTCAGGAAGTCCTCATATGAGATGTGTTTGAACCCCACAAACTCTGGAAAAGTGATGATGGGGGCACCATCTTTCCCTTGGCCTCCTGCAACAAAGATAGAGGATCAAGATGTTAGCAAAATGTTTTCAGGTCACACCTCTGCAGGTAAGGGACTTCAACTAATATCAAGTCGAGATGTGCATCAGCCTCTTCTTTTTCCATCTATATTATTTCAGAGCAGAATTCAGGAAGGTCAACACTGCATTATTTGGAACAAGTCTCTCTTCTTCCTGCTTGTTCAGTGGTGGTGTAAGAATTCAATCCTTTGAAGATGGTTACTGTACAAAAGGTAATAATGATTTAATTATTTTAGCACAGGTAGAATAGTAAAAAATGCCAACACAAATACATAATATTGTTCTTCATTTTTGTAGTTAGTAAATATCAAAGCTAAAGGAGCACGGTGGTTCAGAAAGTTGGCTCTAAAATCAGACAGCCTGGTTCGAATTCTGCCTTACCACTTAATTTCTACGTGATTTTTGGCAAGGTACTTAAGTAGAAATTTCCTTACATACACATATATATCTATGTAATAGGAATATTACCTGTATCTACCTCAAAAGGTACTGTGAGGATTAAGTGAGAGCATATATGAGAAGCACTTTAGCAGAATGTTTATTATATATAAGTGCTCCGTAAAGTAACCACTGTTATGGTTATTATTCTTGCAAAGAGGCAATAATCAGCTGCCCTTCAATAACTCATAAACAGGGATATAACACACCCTACAAGAATAAAAATGTAAAATTAGTATTTAAACATTTAATTCATTGGTGTAGAGGCCACCAGAATAAATTAAATAGATTATATTTCCCAATTTCTTTGCAGCTAGGCATAGCCATGACTAAGCTCCAGCCCCATGGTTCCCAAACTGTGTACCACATACCTAGGAAGCCACAGTGAACTCACAGAGGCACCATGAATATCTTAAATTTGGGGGAAAAGTGCAATAGTTGGCATCTGTCAGACATTATGCTTGCTAATAGCTTGAGGTGGTTTACAATTTCAACATTAAATTACACTGTATTCTTTTGAATGCCACTGCATCTTTGTGAAGTTGGGGTTTTGGTGGCCGCTGGGATAAAAAAACAAGTGCAGTATGAAAATCATCGTGGAACAGGAAATGCGGGAAATGATGTCCAGCCTGACTGCAAGGTTTGGGATAACGGTGGTTCTGTAAGAATGAAAGTTAAACATTACTTTTTCTTTCAATTTGTGTGTATTTATCTTTCCAAACAGCTACTAAGTTGTCAGGACATATAGACTTAAGTTGTTTTAACTGTCAGGCATTGCTTTTGGTCAAGAAGGGCTGAGAAAAAAATGACTGCAATACTAAAGACCCCGAGGACTGAGGAAGCTGGGGAACTTGGGCTCCAGCCAGAGGGACATGAGCTGAAGTGCTGGGAGCACCTTCCAGGCTACGCCTCTGTAGGGAAACAGTTAGTGGAATAAGGCTCCCGAGGGAAGCCAACTACAAATGACCTCACGTATTTCATATATCTAACAAAATAGATGCAGGGTGTGGTTTAACGAGGACTGTGTGATTATTCAGGGTGTGAGATCAATGAAGAAACTACAGAAAAGGGAAACTCAGATAAGCAAAGGCTGCCAGCCATCTTACGGAGGGAGGGTCCTGGTCCACCACCTCAAAAATCCAGACCATGTCACCAGTCTGTCTGATGACCCCACCATTAGGATCATCCAATGCACGCTGCTGTTCTGAATCCATGCCTGAGAAGCATCTTCTGCTAATACCCTGATGGTTCATGTAAATTTGTTTCAAGGGAGAGAATGTGCTGCCAAGCAAACGTGAGTATTTGTATCACATAAAGAGTAAGTCAGCACTGTGGCTTTTCTATACAAGTCTCCTGTAAGTATTGTTACTATGAGTCTTGGGCTCTCAGAGACTAATTGTTATGGGATATCTGTCTGGATGACTAGTCATTCTTCTCTGGGAGATTCCTGTTTATTAATCCTGTATGCTTATTATAAATTTTTTAAAGAGACAACTGACTTCAATTAAAAAGAAAAGAAAAGGAAGAAAAAGATACCTGCAGATCAGATGTTTGTCAAGCTTTGACAAGGAGATTGAGCTACCTCATTTTGTTGACTGAAACAGTTTAGATCAGGATAATATCAACTTCCGAATAGTAAATATTCATCCTCTTTCTAGTTTCACAACTATAGGAAGTATCAGAGAAATGTGAATTAAGAGAATTTGCATCTCCAGTGAGACTAAATTTAGATGCATTATAACACTACACTAATTATACAAACAACATTTGCCAAGAGAATGGCTAAAACATTTCAAGGAACCAAAACACCATCAAATATTCACAAGGATATAATTACATCATTTAATGATTTCTACCTTTTTCACTAACTATAATTAAAGCTATTCATGCCTAAATGGAGAAAGATGGGTGAAGTTTTCTCATATCTTGGTTAATACAAATACTGAACATCAGAGAGGCCCTGAGGTTACCTGGGGACACCACCTGCTGCTGAACGTAAATGTCTGTTAGGCAGAGGCACCAAGGAAACGAAGCTGGGCCTGCCTCCACGCAGCAGTACAGCCACAACAAGGCATTCAGTGCCACCTTGCGAGGAAACGTGGAAGTGCAAAAGGAAGAAAGATTGTGACGAAGTCCCCTTCAAAGAAGATAAAGAAAACCAAACTCTTTGGAACTAAGTAAAATGGTGACTTAACAATATAAACTTCACTCCTCCTGGTATCATTTTTACCTGTATGTTACATGGTAGGGGACTAGCTTTACTGCAGAAAATAATGGCAAGTGCTTGGGATACATAAGACCATTCCCATAAGGGTCACGGTGTTGGCTGGCATAAGATGTGTGTCATTTAGAGGAGCACTTGGAACACTGGGAAATCCTATAGGAAGATGCTGAAGACCAACAGTGAGACAGAAAGTAAGGTAGCTACTGCTATTTGCCTCCCAATATCTATTTTCCCTTTCTCTTCCCCCAGAGAACTGATTTTAGCTCAGAAAATGGCAGTACCACTCCCTGGGAGGCACTTGGGAAATCTCACGGCCTGAGATACTATATAATCTTCCTACATAATAAAAAATTGTCCCATATCCTGTTTGATTTCCAAATGTTTTATGAGAAACTCAATATACATAAAAAATCCATTTACAGTAATCTGATCCTAGAATCTTTGTTTTACATATAATCATAAAGTATTTTAAAATATGTTTCCAGTTTTATTGAGACATATAACATCGTATTGGTTTAAGGGTTACAACAACAATTTGATATAATGTATATACTTCAAAATGATCACCACAATGAACTTAGTTAAAATTCATCACCTCATATAGTTACAATTTTTTTTCTTGTGGTGAAAAATTTTAAGATCTACTCTCTTACCAATTTTCAAATACACAATACAGTACTGTTAACTACAGTCACCATGCTACACGTTACATCCCCAGAACTTATTTATTTTATATCTGGAAGTCCGTACTTTTTGCCCCCTTTCATCCATTCCCCCATCCCCGTCTTTAGCAACAACCAACTTGTTCTCTGTTTCTATGAGTTCAGTTTTTTTAGCTTCCACATATAAGTGTGGAATCATAACAGTATTTGTCTCTGCCAGACTTATTTCATGTAGCCTAATGCCCTCAAGTTCCACCCATGCTGTCACAAATCATTAAGTATTTTTAAATGGTTTTAATGTATATTGAATTTCCCAGGAATTGCAATTACCCTATAAAATTGAGTGACGATTATATTCTACTTTGTTCAGAACTTTATCAACAATTGTTTACTATTTCAGAAAATCACTATAGGAAGGTCCCTCAGGATGTCTGATCACTCATACCACATTTCAGCATTTGCACCTGTTACATTCTTGGTGACTCCACATGCACAGGTAAGCAACTGACTACTTCATAATTTTTTCTAGTATAGCTAGAAATATACGTGGAAACACATTATTTTACTCTGCTTACTTTACCTTTGTTTCTCCTTCACATTACGGCTGTCCTTTACATTTAACTTTTTAACTTATTTAAGTATAGGCATAAATAAGGAGGGCGGTGGCTGTTCACCTTCTGGACACACAAATAATTATCCAGCTCCCCTTGTGGTTAAGTGTATCCACATGACTAAGCCCCGTTCAAGTCAATGGAATTCGGTGTGTACTGTTGCCAAGCTGAGACTTTTAAGAAATAGTATTCTCTAGGGAAGGGTATAGCTCAAGTGGTAGAGTGCATGCTTAGCATGCACGAGGTCCTGGGTTCAATCCCCAGTACCTCCTCTACATATAAAGAAATATATAAACCTAATTACCTCGCCCTACACACACAAAAAAACTAAATAAATAAATGTCACTCTTCAAAAAATAAATTAAAAAAAAAAGAAATAGTCTTCTCTCTTTCCCTGTCTGCTTTCTAGATGTAGACAATAAGAAGGCCACAAAATGGGTAACAGCAATAAGAGCCACAAAGTAAAAGGAGCTTTCATTCAAGAGCCTTCACGTGGAGAAAAGTTGTCTGCTGACCATGTATACCTGCTGAACATACATGCTGGACCGTTTTTCAACAGTAAGAACAAATTTCTGTTGTGTTAGTTTGAGCCACTATCCATACACCTTGGAGTCTGTTTGCTACAGCTGTATGGTGCACCCTAACTAGTACAAGTTAAGGTGCCTACACATTTCATTTCAGGATGGTGAGGCGTGCAAAATAAATCATTTGTTATAAAATGGAGGCATTCGGTCCAGTGTGATTGAGAACCACTATAGCCTGTGCTTCTCAATACAGTGGCCACAAGACACAGCTGGCTGCTGAGCCCTTGACATGTGACCAGTCCAAACTGAGATATGCTGTGAGTGTAAAATACAAACTAGATTTCTGAAACTTAGTACAAAAAAAGTAAAGTCTCTTATTAATAATTTTGAATATTGATGACATGTTGGAATAATATTTTAGACACACTGGGTTAAATAAAATACATTATTAAAATTAATTTCCTCTGTGTGTGTGTGGTTTTTGTTTTTGGGGGGTTTTTTTTTTGCTTTTTTAATATGGTTACCACAAAATTTAAAAGTACACATGTGGGTCACATTATATGTCTATTAAACAGCACTGCTCTGGACCTTCTAGCAGTGGTCCTCATTTCCCAGGTGCCAAGTTACTGGCTCCATCTCTGACTTAGGATGCTGGTTTTAACTATGGTTATTTCCTTGGCTTGACATTCTCCATTGGTTTGGGTGAGAACTTCCCACTTGCCCCTGGGAACTCCATCTCTACCAACCCTGGGCTCCACTGGTGTGCATATAGGGGGAAATGTCAGGGACTCTACAAACCTAAGAGTACTTTATGCCTTCATTATTAACTATTTCTAAAAGGATTAAATGTGTTGAAAGAGACAGAGAAAGAAAGAAATTTGGACAGTAATTCCAAGGGGAAGAATAATCATTAAAAGAAAAATAAAAGGATAACTTCTCATAATTAAAGGAAAGGCATTATGGCAGGTATTGATAAATAGCTAACTTATTCCCAGCTCCCTCTTCCCTGACCACCTTTCACTGTGACATTTAAAAAGTTAAATGTTTGCCTTCTCAGACTCCCTTGCTGCTAAGAATGGCCACATGACATAGTTCTGGAATGAGACATAAACAGAAGTCTATCAAGAGTTTCTAGGAAAGTTACTGCTCTCCTGGCAAAAGGAGCAGAAGAAGCCAACATTGGTCCTTTTCCTTCTTCCTGCTTTGGACACAGACTTAATGTCTAGAGCTGCAGCAGCCATCTTGGGGTCAAGAATTTAAAAACAAGAGAAACATCAAGAGACTCACAAAGATGCCAGTCTTAATGTTGATGAGTCACTGATCAAATACCAAGAATTTCTACCACTAGACCTCTGGTTATGTGGTTTAAAAAACAAACAAACACATCCTATAGGCTAAGTTCTCTTGCAGCCAGATGCTATGCTAGGTATTATCCTTAAAACAACCCACTTTACAGATGAGAAACCTACTAATTGTTTTGGAATATGAACCTAGAATTGTCTGAGTCCAAAGCCTAGAATGTTTCCATCACACTAACCTGGTTATATTCTCTTGCTTCCTAGCTAAGATATATCTTCGTCTTCCAAGGTCAGAGCCACCAGATGCCCCAGCCCTGGTTACCATTCCTGCTGATGGCTCCTGCTCACAGGCCTTGCCATTGGAGGCTTCAACCCAGCTGGCTACAAATCTGGGTCAGGCATCATGCAATGAGCCCTGCCCTCCCACCCATCGTGGGAGCACACTCACACAGCACAGCAGGCCCCACACTCAGGGCCTCACTGAGAAAAAAGGCTGCATCCTCTCCTTCCCAACATCCCTGGTTGATGGGGCCTCTTTCCACATCTCAGTGGAATCTGTAGAAGAGTCTTCACCCTGCTTGTCTGAACTGGGAAAGGAAAACTGCTGTGATTCAGAGCAGAGGCCACAGCTGAGCTGCCAAAGTCATGGGAAAAGACCCAACTGCAGAGATTTCTGTTTTACTACACAGGCACCCACAACAGCCTCGTTGCTGACATTTGCTGCCTCCGCCAGGTAAAAAGAGACAGTTAAGGATGAAAAGCAGGCTTGCTAATTCCAAAAAGGTGCTGACTCAGAAAACCTCATAGCTGCTGATAGTCTTCCTGACCTGCAGTGTTACAAATGCTACACAGCTAATCCATGCTTCTCTCTCATAAGAAGGGCGAACTTGAGGCAACATGCTGACAAAAGCAGCTCAGAAATGAAAAAATTATATTTGAAACAGTCAAAATGCCTTTCCTAAAGCAGAGGTATCCTCTTGGCCCAGAGTGAGTTTTCAGTCCTACGTCCTACATTAAAGAGTGACAATTATCTCTATTCCTGACTTAATTGTAGCATTATACACCATATTCACCGTGAGTATGGTCTTGGTTCCATACAAAAACTCCATGATAATTTCTGATATTTCATGATAACTTTTGGTAATATAATCCTAAAATAAACATATTTATGGGATTAAAATATATCAGGAAAAAAGGGCAAACATTTAGTAGGCAGTTGCAATACTAAGCATTTTTCATACATTATGTCTTTAATCCTCAAAATTATGATGATCTCCTTAATTACATAAATGTGGAACGTGAAGCTTAGGCAAGTAAATTACCCAAGATGATGCAGCTAGTCAGCAGCAGAATCTAAATCCATGTCTAGGGCTGTTTATGATCTTCCCTATACTATCTCTAAGAAATAAGAATAGAAAGAAACACCTCAATATTATTCTAAAAAAATAACTCTAATATTTAAATGCATCAGTTAATCAGTCACTGGACTCTTTCCCCAGATGAGTCATCATGTAATTTTCTATGCCACAATCACGGACTAAGGCATCTGAGTTTGGTCTAAGACTATAAGAATCCACCCCACCCACCCCATCATCCTTTCCAGACCTTGATGCCCAATGGCCTTGGGCCTTCTGTGACAGAGGGCCACAGCAGCAGTTGCCAAAAATCCAGAGGACAGTCTTCATCCTGCCTTTTGTTGTGCACTGTCCTAGGCTCACTGTGGGAAGCTATGACACTGCAGCCGCAGGAGGCTGGCTAGGCTCTCCCACCAGGGTCAAGATGGTGGTACCTAGACAGGGGATGCAGGGAGCAGAGCGTCCACTGTCCTCACAGGACAGACCAGGAAGACTTGGATAATTCCAACCTGAGCATCTCTTATGTTCTACTCTCTGTTCTGAGAGTTAGAAATATGAGCAGAAATTTTTTAAATAAACACCCCGTTCTTATCGAGCTTTCAGTGGCTATCTGAGCTGTGACCAACATCAAGGAAAGACCAAAGAATTCCCCAGAATGTTCTGAACTGTGTAAGATGCCCCCATCCAGGATATAACTCTAAGATGGGGAGAGGTACCCTAATCATGGAGATTACTTTTCTCTCAAACTCAGCAGGATGAAGAGTTTGGGGCAGATTAAGTAAGATTTAGAGAAAGGGAAGAAATGTGATATTTTTTACATCCCATATTGTAGAGTAAAATTCATACCAACTACACATTCTCTCTGTGACATAACTAAGATGACTTTGTTGCTTATTTCAGAACACATGTAAAAGGAGAGAGTGACTTGCCACCTTATTCCTCTGATATGTGTTGAGGACATCTAATCTTGCTATCCTATCCTTCCAAGAAAGGTCTAACTATAATGTAGGTTTGGTATGTACCTCAAGTTTCAGTAATTAAAGTCATGTCACCCTGGGCTAAGCAAATAAAAAAGAAGAGTATTCTAGTAACAACAACTTTCTTCTTAGGGTTATGCCTAGGCTCAGAAAATGTCTAGCCTTTGATTAATACTAGCTTCTCTTTATTCCCAGTCAAATGCTTAATGAAATCAATGTATTAAAATTAGATCCACAAGAGCTAAGAATAAAAGACAAATCTCTCAGAGAACAAATAACCTCAGCAATGTTCATGAACCCTTAAAACCAAGACTCTCTTAAGGTTGGATCTTGGTAGAACATCCAGCAAGAAAATTGGAAGAACATCATGGTGGCAGCTGATGTCAATAGTTATTTCTTTTTCTTTCCTCAAAATCTTTTCAGCTCTGTTCTTTACAACCTAAAAGAAATGTACTCCCTTGGGAAAGACCAAATTGCACCCAACAGCAAAAGGAGGGACATCTATGAGATCCCTCTCTCCTACAGCTGGATCGTCTTCATTCTAGTCCGGGGGAGGCTTAAGAGAAGACTGAGACTTGAGTAAAATGTTAATCAAGTTAAGTTCAAGAGGCTGAGCCCTCACAGCAAGACCCCACCCCCCAACCCAACAAAATCCAGAAATGCATATGAATTTGCCCCTTACCTGAAAGAATGGCAAATTGTCTGTGAAGTTGTTCAATTATATCCACTGCCAACAAAGGCCTGATTTCCTGCTGCATAATTTCATCTGCACAAATAAAATAAAAATTAGGTTAAATCTTTTCAAATTATAAAGAGAATTTAAAGGAAGAAAGGGAAGCTCCACTACTAGGGAAATCTGGGACTTATCAAGATATGGTTATGCACACATTCTCTTGAGGACTCAATTTCTGACAGGCATGGATGGATCTGAGTTTTGTGTGGTTTGACGCTTATACACATGAGCACAGAAACACATTTCTAGAGCATCTCCCAAGGCTTTAGGAGGGATCAAGGCAAGGAAGGGGCCCTGAAGTTTAAGCTTCAGTAGCTTCACAGTAAACCTGCTGGGATGGCTTCATTACCAAAGCAGATACTTAGGTGTCTGCCCACTCCTTTGGGTCTGCAGAAGGACACTTTAAACATAAACAACCTAAGTTACCAGAGTTCATCTCAAACTGGTTCACAAAATCAATCTGGGATTTATGAAGGTTCTTTGATTTTTGAAGACAAGGTCCTTCATTTCCTTCCTTTTTGCCTCCCTCCTTAGTCACCTCCATTCCTTCTTTTTCCCCTTCTAGAATACTTCAAGAAGCCTCTTCCCACTACCAAGCATGTTTAAGGAGGCATTTCTCCATTTTGCTAAATAAAGATGCTTCTTACTGCATAAAAGTTTATAGGTTTCCAAAGCAAAAATTCAAATCTTTCAACAATGTCCTCTAACCCCAGAGAGTGATTTATAAGCACTAAGATTTGCATCCTATCCATTTGGGGAAAGGATATTAGAGAGAGGAGAAAATTGAGTGGTAGCCCTTAGCCTGGGCTGGAAAGAAGAAGGCATTTTCCTGCTCTCTCTGCTTAAAATTTTATTATCCTCATTTAACTGTTTCCCAGGGAATCTCAAAAAAATCAACTGGTTATTGATTCTACAGCAGTTAAACATCTGGGTAGATTAAGGCACAAACCAAATAGCCTTGTACGCTGATGCTAAATGGGTATCTCCTATTGATTGGGCATGGAGTCAGTCAGAGTAATGTTATGATACCTTAATTTTGACCAATCAGAGGATTATATTTGGGAAGCTCCTCCCAGAGCCTTGGTTTCCACTTCTCAGCTTTGGTGTAAAGCTTAAAGGAGCTGATGCATATGAGGATGTACATAGTAGGTGCTTAGTAAATGCTAGTTATATCCATCACTCTGGAAAGGCCTTTCCTATATTTGCTTTCTGACAGTCTTTTAAGGGGTAGGCCAAGTGCCGCTCAAACACCGAGATCCTTAGTGAATTCTACCACTTTTTTTGGAGGAAAGCAGATAAACCCAATATCCTTTCTACTCTGAATTCACTAAAAATTCAAAGAACCCCTGAATCACTGTTAATTTTGGTGGCTGCAATAATGGCATTGTAGTTATATTTTACAAAAAGGGAAGGCCTTCTCATTAAAGTGACATAAAGTCTGAGATCTGCTTAAAAATACCCCAGCACTCCCCTCTTCCAAAAAATGTATGGGGAGGGGGGAAATGAAGCCAGATTGACAAAATGTGGATAATTGTTAAACTGGTTGACAGGTCTTTGGGAGTTCATGATACAGTTCTTTTGCATATGTTTCAAATTTTCTAAAACAAAATGTTAACTACAAGTGGGCAACAACAGAGAGAACTTAAGCAGAAGTAAGAGTTATATAATCAGTTTTTCAGAGTACAATCTGCCAGTGGTCTGACAAAGAGGCATACTCAAAAATACAGCTGGATTATTCTTTTTCCATACCTGAGGGAGTCTATTTAAGAGACAATAACCCCAGAAAAGAATTAAGATTTTAAAATACAATTTACTGTTACTGTACCTCAATATTTGAGGTGTGCTTAAAAGTAAACATGTTAAATTAAAGAGGTAAGATCTAAAAGGGACAACAGAAGTGAATTAAGCAACCATACCCCTTACCTGGTCTCATTTTTTAAATGAAGAAATGAAGAGATTCTGACCTTGCTATGGTCACACAACAATTTTAAGTGTGGAGCCCGGGTCACTTGACTTTAAGAAGACAAACGTGATGGCATTCCCAGACCCTTGGGGAATACTGGCTTCCCCAACCCCTGAGAGGCTGACTAGTGTCTCTCATCATGGGAATCTGGGGAGGATGCCCAGCCTTCCAGCAGAGACATTCTCACCTGCCTCCTGTGGTTACCAAAGGAACAGAACTAAAATTGATGATTTGCCTTTTTCAAGAATAGAAATGAACTGGTTTGCCTTTGGCCCAGGTTTTGCTGAGAGAGCCTGTCCCCAGCAAGGGAGTGACAAGGTTATCCTTGAAGATTTCCCAGCCAAGGGGCCTAATGACCCAACTGGCTGGCTGCAACAGAGCATTAGGGTTTCTGGGACGCAGCACTGACCCAGTGCATGGAGATGACCTTGCACACACCCAGCTTTTAGCGATGCCTGACACCTGTGGGCCTGTTGGAAGGGGGCCATGCTCAGTTCAGCCCCATTCATGCTCCGTACCGGAAAAGACCCAAAGACCAGCCCTTGCTGCTGGCAGGCCCTGCAACCCACTCCACAGAGATGGGGTAAGGAAGAGAATGTGGGAGCTCTTTCGTCTAAAGGAACACCTCCCTGTGCACTGGGAAGGCAGCTGCCTCAGACCCACACAGTCCTGCATGCCAAGGCCTGTTTCTGTCAATTTCTAGCTGGCTTTTCCTTCTCCAGGAACAGTTGGGCATGGCCAGTGACAACCTGCCGAGGTGGTGGTACCTGCCGCACCCTGCGGGCCCCTGGGTCCTGTGTGGAAGCTTCCTGCTTGCTATTTTTAATGTGTGTAGATTAGGGAGAAACTTGTCTCTTTGTAACCCATACAAGGCAAAGGGAAGTGGTAACTGAATTTCAACACAATTCTATCCTGGCCAAAGTTACAAATAGATCTGGGAAAAACTTGTCCCTTTTCTATCCCTGATAAGTGTACAAATAATATGATTATATTTACCCTGGGCACACAGTTCAAAATGCAGGAGGCATTAAAGGCCACAAAGTCCTCCTAGGTGATGGAGTAACAGCCCAGCATGTCCCACAGGGATTCAGCCATGGACAGCAAGCAATACCCCTGTGTCGTCCACTCCCCCATCCGAGAGCAGGCTCTGGGTCAGGACCCTTCGGACTGATTGCATCCTCCTCCTCATGGCAGAGGGCGGGAAACAGGCTGAAATTTTGGTCCTAGCCTCCACTCTTGCTGTTCTGAAATTTTGGTCACATTGGGATTTAAAAGACTCAAGTGTGGTCTGAGAAAAGAAGCACGAATAAATAAGTAAGTAAGTAAGTAAGTAAGTAAGTAAGTAAATAAATAAATAAATAAATAAATAAATAAATATGAAGGGGAAAAGTATGGTCTGGCCCAAGAGGGAAGGCAGACCTGAGTTTGACAGCCACTGCTACATTACTACTTTGCCCAGAGAATTGGGTGGGTAGAAAGGATGGAAGGGTCGACCGTTAGCTGAACTAGGAACAGGACCAGGGTCTCCACTCTTAGCCACGGTGGCGCACGTCTCTGCTCATGACCCTAATGAGAGAACCCGCTGCAAGCCAGCCCTAATAAGGTACCTTGCTGACTATCTAGTTTAATTAGTTAGATAATGACAGTGAAGGAATGCATCTTAGCACTAAAAGGAACTTCCTTCAGCCCCTCCAGCCCTTTCACCCCCACAACTAGACCAGACTTGACTGCTGAGAAAACATCTGTGGCCAGAGGCTCTGAGAAATCAGTTGCTAGGCTGGTACGAAAAGCTACCCCATGGGGTCACCCTGTGTATAACTTCTTTTTCTTATTGGCCAAGTCAGAAAGAATGCAAACACATTTTCCTTCTTTTCCTGTGCTATTGCGATGCTTAACCTCAACCATAAGAGTTAGTCTTGAAGAATTGTTCATAAATTAACAATGAATAAGAGGCATTTGAAAAGCAGATGGAAGAATTTTTTAAGGAGAAATTTAGAAGATTTTAAAAATCAAGAACACTAAAAAATGTTCACCTTCCTAGTAGTTAAATCATGTAGTCAAAACAGCAACAGAATTTCTCATTTCATCCATAAATTAACACATAGTGCTGGGGTTATGTTCAAAACTAGTACTTCTGCACAACCCTGGGGAGTGAACCTGGTAGTGTCCTTTTAGAAAGTAGCTTCACAATATTTTACCAAATATTGTGTAGATTTCATACCAAATCCTTTACGTACATCATCTTATTTAATCCTCAGAATAACTCTAAGAGCGATATGAAACTAGATTCACAATAGCTGGTCCAAGGTTAGGCAGAGCTAGAGTTTGAACCCAGCTTACTCTAAACGCCCAGCATCTTAACCATTACGGTACAGAGTATCAAGACACAGTTTCATCAAAATCTTCATATCTTTTACTAATTTTTCCTGTATTTGGAAATGTATCCTGAGAAAATAATAAAATAAAAACTTTATACATAAAAATGTATATTGGAACATTAATTATAAAGGTGAAAAAAATGAAAGCAATCATTATATAATTATGAATATGATGTCCATAGAAAAATATTTAAGATAAAATAAAATAAACATAAAAGAGATCGCAGCCAGGTTCAAAACAGAAAGAAGAAAGCCTGTGGTATGTTTGTGCACATGGGTGCGGGCGTAAGAAAGGAATAGTATGTTCTGGTAGCCTTTATTTTTTATGCTAACAGGACTTTATTGAAGTATAATTTACACGCAGTACAATGCACTAATATTAAGTGTACAGTTTCATGAATTTTGACAACCACATACACTACTGTGATCATTAAACAGATCAAGATATGGAACATTTCCATCACCCCAGGAAGTTTCTTTGTGACCCCTGCCCCAGGCCCTGTACTTCCCTCCCTCCTATAAACGTATGTGTTAAAAGATCACTTGGGTGCCTCTGTCCCCATGACCCACAGCTCAGCGCCAGCAAAACACATCGCAGCATTAACAGTGACTCTCAACACCACTGGGGCCCCAAGGAAACACTTCTCCACATCCCTTGGTCTACATCCTCAAAAGAAAAGATGAGCTGCATC